AATATCTAAAGACATGATCTGCCTAGATATAATTCCCTGCAGAGTCTCCATGTATAGCTGCACAAGTTGTTCTGTGCACAACCCTAGGGGGCGCCATTCACATCAGAGAGCATAGATCTATACATTTATTATGACAATTTCCTGACAAAAGGCAGTAAAGTGTCTTTTTCTAACAAAACCAATCTATCATGACAATTTTCTAACATCTGGAACTAGAGTATCTCAAGTAAAGGAAGCCGTTTTTCTAATATACACAGAGGAGAAAAAAAGGCTAGCAGCTGCTGGGACTACCCGGCTCCTGTTCCTCTGGAAGTAAGGAGTTGGGGGATGGCCACTCCCAGGTGAACTTCCAGAAGCAGAAGCAGACCTCTGATAAGGCACACCACACTTCCTCCCTGAACTGCAGAGCAGAGGTTAATTTCTCTCAAATGAGACATAAAAACACCAACCTTGAAAATATCATCTAGGGTCTTAACTCACTAATGTTTAGTCCACATACATTGAATGATTCAGTCAGTTACAAGGTATGTGGTCACTGTGTTTCACTACAGTAGTTTCTTAATGAGGCCACCATGAGGCGTAGCAGTACACAAATCAGTTAAATCACTCTCAAAAATAAAGCTTTTAGGGTTTTACAAACTTCTTTCTCCTAATCAACATACTTTGATGGACAGAACAAAATCTAACAGCCCTGGAAACTTTAAGGGCTTTTTTGCTTAAGATTAGGAAAAACTGCTGTTAAGGCTGAGATGGCTTTTCCTAAAACCAGACTGTAATAAACTTATGACATTTGATAAACTAGGGTGCCATTTAACAATGTGGTATTGTTTTGCGAATTCTTCTTCTGTTTTCACAGGACTGAGGGAACTACACTAAAGCCATGGTTCAGTTTATTATCTGTTGGCTACAAAAATTATGTTATACTACTAAATATAAATAAATTAGAAGTCAACTAGTAATACAATAAAAAGATTTCAAAGTTAATATGTATAATGTATAACATAGAGCTTTATTCTAACAATACATAACATTTGAGCTCTTTTATCTTTATAACTATTTATAAACAACACAAAAAGTCACATATTCCTGCTGTGAAAATAGTGCCATCAATTGACTAAAACTATTTTTACGTTACTTTGGAGCTAAGCAAATTTCTAAAGCAAAACACCAAACCAGAAGCCTTACAACTTGGTTCTAGCTCTGCCATTCATGTGGCCTGGGTCCCAGTTTCTTAATCTAGGCCTTGCTTTCTTCAGATTTAAAGTTAAAGTGATGGATTATGCTACTACAAGATCATCTACAATATCTCTTTTGGAGCTAAAATTCTATTATTTTCTTTGGATGTCAGTTATGTGAATTCCAAAGCTATTTTCTTTTTCATGTGGTAGTACAATGTTTTTTAATCATGATCTCTTAGGATACTATATAACACTAACTTTAACTTAAGAACTTTACATATACTTGGAATGATTCAAGAAATAGTTATTAATGAGTAATTGTGTATATGGCAATCTGCCTGACAATGTAGAAACACAAACAGAGAAAAAGTTCTTTCTTCCTGAGTCAGTAAACTGTGCTTTAAACCCTCAGCGTTACAATTCAGTAGGAGTCAAGACAGGTACATGGCACTATGGAGTGATACAAATGCCATGTGGGAAGCACAAAAGGCAGATAAGGGAGGGAGGGAGTAGGAGCCTGGCCTCCTTAGTGAGCTGAAATGGAATGCCAGCTCCACCACTTACTGGAAGAATGACCTTGGGCAAGCTGCAGAGCTTGAGGCACATCCCTCGTCTAAAATGGAGACAATTCCTTCCTCACAGGCTGTTTCCAGGTACAAAGAGAGGGACCACTGGATTCAGAGTTTACATAACTGCTTAAACTGAGGATTATAAATTATCCTCATGACTTATTTTCATATCCCATCTTCAATGACAACCCAACCTAAAGAAAAGAAAGTTTACAGTTTCTAACCCCTTTCATCTTTACCCACCTTCTCTGATAAACATAGGTGTTGGCTTTTCTTCAAATTGCAATTCTTCAACAAACTTCTTCTTTAGCCATTACTACCTACCTTGTGTACCAAAGTTGGTATAAATATTCAAATACAAATTATAAAAATTAAATGGAAATAAAGGAAATCTATAGAAACAAATGTTCTAAATAAATTGCTTTCGTGTCAGGCTGTAAATCTTTTAAATTTAAAAAAAAAATGTTTCTGGAGATATAATGCAATCAATCTTTTATCATCCTCCCACAGTAAAATAATTACCAGTCTCTTTACCCTTGGGGAACTGTGAAATAAAATCCTAACAAATAAAACTTTTCTACTATGTAAAATATTAATTGAATAATTGATCCCATAGTAATTTTTGGATAGAAATATCTTCTCTTTTATAGTTGGCTGAGGTGATATATTGAATTCTCTAACTAGCTTGTGAAATGTTCCTTTTCTACAAAGTGCCAAATTAAGTTGTCTTTTAAATTTAAAAAGAAAACTATAGCACATGCCTTCATTTCTTTGAAAACACCAGTTGATATAAATTATAATGTAAAAGTGTTAAGAAATGGGTGTAGCTCAAATATCTAGATAGCAATTCATATTTTCCAATTAATTTTCATTATTATTTCAGAAATCTCACAGGAAAAAAAAAAGGTCCCAATACCTAATCTAAATCTCACTTAAGAATCCTTCATATACATTCTTTGTCAGTGTGTGGTCCCTATGCAGTTAATTTTCCATCACAGACTACAAAAAAGTTAAGTCAAACAGAGAGTCGTTCCAGAGGATCTGAGAACACTTATTTAAATACACAAATAGGTTTAAGTACACCAGAAAGTTAAGGCCCACTTATTTCACTGATATTTTATATACCACCGGGCATGAACAATTAAATTACCATATTGTCCATGCTACTGCTGATACAGGTATTTACAGTAACTTACTTGGTTGAAAATAAGAAAGAAAAAAACACACAAAAAAAACCTTTGTTCAAATACGATAAATTTTGCTACCCAGAGTGGGCAGCTCACTAGAGGAGTGGACAGAATACTGGGTTCTGGTCTCATGGGAGCCACTGCAAACTCAGTGACCTGGGTCAAGCCACTTAACAACACTGAGCCTATTTCCTCATCTTCAAAATGAAAATAATGATACCCTACTATCTATCTACCTCACAGAGTGGTTTTAAAGAGCAAGTAAGATGTCAGTGAAATCACAGTGTAAACTCGAGACTGCAATAGCAAGTTACTACCGTGCCTTTAAGGGTGACAGCCTTGTAATAAAGAAAGACTTGATGATTTGATGACTTAATGATGAGACTGTGCTAAAGATGAAGGGCTCTCTGAAGAAATTTTTATCCAATGCTAGGAAGCGTGGGCAGAATAAACTGTTTTTATAAGGGCAAAATGGAACTTCCTATATTTACTATGAGGCATCAGAAATGCAAATTAGAGCACAGTAATTTATTAATTGTGCAGATGTGGAACTGCTTTAAATAAACATGCCCTAAATAAGACTGAACTATAAGAAGGAGTAAAGGAGTATTGGTCTTGACCAGTGTTGCAGAGCCAAAAAGGATGGATGCCTTCATCTGGCCAGCTTCTAACGGAGAGAGCTAATGCCGTAACTTCTCAGGGAGGAAATGTTTGCTCTCCCCAACTCTGACAGCATTCAGTAAAATGCATGACAGGTTTATTTTATGACCACAAAATTAGAATTTGTAGCACTTTTTAAAGTGGAAGTCTGAATAAGAAAATTCCAAAAAGAAGAAAAAAAACGCAAAGTACCCTGTTTCATTCAGGTGTAAATAAATCCAGTCCTAACTGTAATAGTATATATACATTGGGCTGATCCATGACATATCCCAGCTTTAGTGATGGGGGAAGAAGGTACAGGATAATAGCATATAAAAAACAATTCTATTGTGAACTCCATTTTGTTCGTTGATAATATGTCAATAAAAGTATGTTAACAATGACCTTTAAATAAACAACTGTAACTTGGCAGTTGTGTTCTCTAGAGCATCTCTGTGCAGGCAACACTGCCAAGGCTTAAAAACATATCTGCGTATGAGGTAATCCCAGAATCACTGGCTTTGCTTCAATCAGAGCAGGATTCATTTACAGTCCTCTGATCTTGACACCGATCCATTCCTGTACACGCAGAGCCTCTTACACCCAGTACATCGCATAAAACAGAGCAATTCAACAAAAATTAATCAGACACCTACTGTACTATGACCTAGGCACTGTGGGTACAAAGATGAGTAAAATCCAGATCCTACTGCTTAACAAGGTTGCATTTTTTGAGATCTGAGGATATCAAAGTCATTCCTCTGAGATGTTCTTACAAACACTGTGCCCCACTGCCACCACCACCAGCAGCAGCAGCAGCTGCTATAACTTTCTGCCTACCTATAGCTAGCCATACTCTGTCCTATACTTTAGGGGACCTCCTGGAACTTATCTTTTCACACCCATGGATCTATGGCCTCTGCCAGATACCTCATGCTGAGCCACACACTGAATACTCCTACTAAGTCAACTAATATTTGAGTCCCTACTATGTAGCAGGTACTTTTAGAGGCCCGAGATACAGCAATGAACAAAAAATGTCTGTTCTTTCTTACTAGATCCCTCATGCTGAACTAGGCTCCATCTCCATCCCTGCTAGCCAGCCTAATTCTGCCTATTCGTTCAACAGTATCTATTGAGCTCCTACCATGTTCTAGGGGCTGAGGACACAGTGGTCATCGAAACAAAGTCCCTGATCTAATGGAACTTACCTAAACTTGGTGGAACACTGCCCCATTCTGACCTATGGTCTCCAAAGTGGGGTTCTCGACCAAAACATAAACAAGACATAGTCCACTGGAGTAGGTATGAAGAAAATATTAAATTTTTCTTTATATTCAATTTATCTTTTTTATGTCTAAGCTATTTATATTGTATATCTAATATCTTAATAGCTCAGTATAATTTATAAACAAATGTAGACATACCAAGGGATAGATGCACAAATTCTCTTGCTGAGGAAGACAGGATCACATTTAAAAAGTCCAGATGCCACTGGCTTAGATGATGACACATTTAGAATAAACTGCTTGGCCCAGGTAGGGTTAACCTGGGCTTTCCACCAGGTTCGTTTTCTCCCTGATAAATTCAAGTAAACAGTTTGCAACAATGCTTAAACACTAAGCAATATAACCAAAGTTCAGGTCCATCCTAATTTCCCCTCCCTAACTGTCTCCTATCAGCCTATACTCACCATCCCTGTGTCCTATGAATATTATAGAATCTTTATTTTCTACTCCACATATGGTATATGTGTATCACTATATTAGAAACATGCTGAAGACAGAGTCATTATCTTTTTATTCTGCAAGCCCCAGAATTCCTAATCGAGTTTTATACATGTTGAGTACTCAATAAATACATAAAATAAAGACAATTCAATATATAGAACCCAGAATTACCCAACAGATATGATAGAGGATAATCATGTGCTTCACCAAAGATGGCTCTTCATAAAATGATCAGTACTGTGTTCCTTTACACAGGTCCCCTACGTGTATTTTACACATTGATTACTTTATATAGGAGCCTGGGAACAGTAAAACTTCAATCTGTAAAATCAGTAGCCACTGTCAACTGAAGATCATTTAGAAATACACAGGACCACCTTGCCGGGCGTGGTTCAGAGGTTGAGCGTCGACCTAGGATCCAGGCAATCGGGATTCGATTCCCGGTCAGGGAACATGCCCGGGTATACACAGGACCAAACTGAAATTATAATTTGTCAATAATAATATATAGTTAATTTTGAAACACTAAGTCAAAACTTTTCAAGAAAACATCTTTAATGAAGAAAAGTACCCATTATCCTAATTCTTAAGATCTATATATTAGACTTAAGGCCATTTAGCTGTATTTGAAAAATGTCAGAAATTACATACATGGTCACAGTTTTTAAAAATTAAAGAAAAGGAAATTCACTTCCTAACAACTGATTCATAATCACAGTTCCTCATGCAGTAAACTTATCACTATGTGTGTGTCAAGGTTCTCGTAGTGTAACTCTGTGTTCACATGTGATCGATCCCCTTCCTGAAGCCCTTTGAAGCTACAGAAAATTTTTGTATGGATTTGTATTATATTCATTCAGAAGCTGTATATAGAAAATTACTAAAATACAACAAATCTGAACACGTTCTCCTGGGACTTCTAAGAATGGATAGCACCAAATGAGATGAGCACGCATGTCCATGTACAAAACTTATAAAGTTGTTCATTATTACCATGAGGATTGGTAAATAATGAGATCTTAATGCCTGTACTTACATGATGCCAAACAGCCCCAAGACAGAGAATGGAAGAAAAACTCTCAAGTTATTATTCTGTGTGTCTCTGTTCCTCTCTGCTGCTTTAATGCAATCATTAGGGTTGTTATCAATGTTGTAAGCTTATGAATAAATATTTTCCAAGATCAGCTTCTTTTTTATGATTTTGATGATGAGTGTATTTGTTTATTATCAAAAGTACCCATGGCTGACATATTTTAGAAACAAGTTTTAATCTAAACTGGGCTGATATCCAGAAAGGATCAGCCAAAAGAGGGCCACAACTAAAACTGAGTGAAAAGGAAGACATCCTGAGGTATAATAAACCAAGTCATGATTAAAAGAATTGATACTAAAGGTTTGATCAAGTCAAAGGGGAATCTAAAGACCAGAACTCAGATCACTAAAGCAACCGAACTCATGGGTGACTCCAGACCATGGCTTATTAAGCCATGAGACAAACCACAGTTGTAAATATAGGTTGAAAACATCCCGGAAAACCTGACACTGATTAAAAATTATGCCCAATGCTTCTATCAATCTATAATCTCTCATGGATTATAGAAAAGTACATTTTCACCTCTTTAGAATTTCATGTTGTATTTTAATAATTAGGCTAGAGTCTTACTAATATACTCCTAACTAGTATAATTTATCTAACTAAAGTTTAAGTATTAACAATAGTAGTTTATAATACTTTTATTGACATGTGTTTGGACCCCTAGTTTGAAATCTAGTTCAAACATATTATTCTATTCAGTGTGCTTTTAACATGATTTGGTAGTGAAATGTTCAAATATTTCCCTTCACTTCAAAAGTGTTATCATTACAGATTGTGACAGTAATAGTAATAAATAAAAAAGGAAAAATCAGAAGGAAGTCTAAAACACTTTTTAATATAAATATAAAGCTTTGTCTAAAAAAAAAAAAAAATCAGTGGCCTTTTAAATAGACCAAAAACTAAAGAGATAAACTAATATTTAAATAAAAGCCAAATTAGGGTTAGAAATCTAACTTGGGCCAAATTAGTTTTACAACCCTTATGACAATTAGGACAAACACAGTGTGGCAGCAAAAAACTCCTTTACCCCCATTTCAGTGTCCAGCACCTATGCTGGAATTAGCCAGTTTTTCATTGGTATTTACTAAATACTATTTTAGGCCATATCTATTAGAACAACTAGCACAGAGTAACTTATAGATATTTACAACTGGTGGCCTTTTTTAGACAGTAGTATATATTTGCTTTGAAGAAAAGAGCTGTGCCATATTCATTTTTTTAATCTCAAAGTCTAAATCAGCATCACCATGCTATAGGCACTCAACCCACGAAGGTTGAATTAAATTGATAATCATTTTTGCTACCTTAATCACGCCAACACTGAACCAAATTATTTAATATGCAAAATTTTTTTAAAAAGCCAAAAAACAAAAACAAAAAACAGTCCAAAGAAAGGTGTTAGATGCCATAAATTTATGTTTCAGTTCACCATACCACTTGAATGAGAATAGCATGGAAGTGGTTTATGGTGGAAGGATGAAACACAAGAAATGGAAGCCCACCACCTTTGATAAAGTATCAGTCAACTAAAACAATGCAAGAGCATACTTTTAATAAGACTACCATCCACAGAAGCTACTTTGCCAAAATAGGAAAATACTCTATTTCCATGTTTTATGGATCAGAGAAAAAGAAAAGCCATTAAAGAACAAATGACAACATTTTGATCTTCCATATCTGAATTACTCTCTGACTTTGCTGAATTTGGAAAGATAAAAAAATTAATTTCAGATGAATAGGGCTCTTAGTATAAAAAAGCAACTTATTATTTTTTATTTTCTAAATGATTTGCTACTTGTATACAAATGTGTAATTTATTAAATCTCTTCTACTTATCAGAACAGGATAAGGTTCATAGGTAAATAAATCAGAAGTGCCCATACACCACTTCGAAAGCTATGAACTTTTGATTGACCCTCTATCTAATTCACGTTTGATCACCAGACACTCTGAAATGAAGTCCATCCATCTGCTTATTATTTTTTCCACTAATAAGGAATTTCTTTTCAAAGCAAATGTCAGAAAACTATTTCATAGCACTATCCGTGTTATACTGGTACCTTTAGTAAAATATATTCACCAATTTAAGTATTAAAAAGTAACAGTAAAAACATCATAGAATATTCAGCCAGAAAAACTCGACTCCTCATGAAAACATAATTTCTACTGATGTACCAGAGGAATTACTAAATAGTAGGAAACAATAACTATTGTTACTACGCAGTTCTGTACTAGATATATCAACTAGAAAGCTCACTGAAACTGTTTTGGACTGGCTACTCTTTGTGACCTCACTGGTAACAGGCCCCCATTCAGGCTTTCTCATCTATCTCCCTTAAGAGTAGTAAAGAGCAGCATTCCAGCTCATTACTTCAAAATGAAGAAGACTGCTCTTGGGGGAGAAAGAAAAATTGGGGGAAATTCTTGGCTGGAAGTTGCCCCAAACCTTTCATTTCTAACCTCCTGGAATGTGGCCCTAAAGGCAGGTAAGCACCGGAAAACCCAGAAGACTGGCAACTGCAGACAGGCATACTTGTGTAACCTCAGAAAAGTTATTAAACCGGAGACTAAGTTTTCTCATCATTAAAATAGAGATGCCTCTCATCAGAAAGTTGTTGTGAAAAAATAAAGTAGTAAAAATAAAACTTGTGCTTCATAAAGAGGCCCTCAGTCCAAATTAACTTTCTCCCTTCCTCCTAAAGTAAAATACTATAGGGTGTCCCCAAAAAAGTATACACACACTTTGAATAATTATCAAGGCAGTGCTTATTAAAATACATTTCATTTTCGAAATGGAGCTATCAGCTGTTAAAGTGTGCATACATTTTTTGGGACACCCTGTATTTGGGAAACGACTAAAAACTGTTTTCAACTTTCCCTTAAATATAAATGAAACTACATAATCAGCCTATCACCCTAAAACACAAAAATAACTGAGTAAGAAATTTACTTCAATTTATTTCATAAAAACAACAGGTGACTTTACTACATATAGCCCTGCTAAAGGCACCTCATAATCCCTTCCTAATAGATGCCACCATGTAGGGAATTGGGTGACATCTCAAACTCATATATCATCAACTTTATTATATGAGTTGTGATAAACACTAAAACAACTCAAAAGCTACAAACAAGTTTTTAAAATCAAATAATAGTAAAAGAAAAAAAAGTTCAACTCCATATCCTCATTCGGAAACATCTATAGGCAATATCACTTAATGCACAATAGCAAAGACAATAAAAGGCTGACAGAGGAAAAGAGATCAGATAGGCTGACAGGATAGAGGGAGAGGGGGGAAAAGAAGAGGGAAGAGCGGAGGGAAAGAAGAAGGGAAAGAAAAAAATTATAACTTCAGTAACTCAAAAGATAATCAAAGTTTGACAGCTGGGTGGAGAGAATTATTTTCTCATTTTGTTCCATGCTCCACCACATTCCCTTGCAGTCAATGAGAACTCTACACTTGGGTGAGTTTTCAGAGGCACACCAAAAGTGGAAAAACAACTCAGCATTTTTTAATATTAAAAGAATCAGCATTGCTAATAAGACTCCCTCTGAATTACTCAAACTGTGGCTTTCCTACAGTAGTCAAGCAATAAATAATAAACGAAGAAAAACTGTCTTTAGCCATCAACAGTTTCAGTCTACACCAAATGAAGACTGACTTAAGTCTAACCATAGCAATAGATCACATCAGCTACTACTTTATTCCCAGAGAATGTCATACAAACTTTTCTTCACATCAAACTTTTCATTTTTCCATGGTTTTATAGAAAATTAAAAATACAAAGGCAAGATCTTAACTTAGATTTTCATAGCTAATTACTGAAAATTAAGGTACCTACGAACTTCTATAAAACAACACAAAAACATTCTCACCTGAGAGTAGACTAAATTTGCAGAAGACATTTTCTTTTTACTTTTCTGATAGACTGTAAGAACTGTGCAGATGGCAATCAAGGAAACAGAACCTCTTCATGAAACCTCTCACAACAGTAAACCACAATGCAAGTAGCCTAAATTTTTGTTCATTGCTACAGAAGAAACAACAGTTCAACACAGTATTTCAAATGTTACATAGCTTTCAGTATGTTAATCTAATAAAACTGACAATTATAAAACAAAATAAGTAATCACAATGTCAAAATGGATATATGAGGTTCAACTAACAGGGGGGAGTGTTTTTTTAAGCTTTCCTTACCCCTTACCTTTACCTCTGCTCAACTTAGGAGGTACAAATGATATTAACTACCTACATACTACAATCTTGTTTATCTGACCTCTAATGCCTTCCACTTTTATATTAGAAGCCAAAGGGTTCCAACAGACAGACAGTTTTCCTGAGTTAAAATATAATGTTAAGATATCTTCTGTGACTCACCAGCTTGCAATGAACTCAAAATGTTCAGATTGATCAGTGACCAAAATTAGCAAAAAATTTTCATTGAGTGAAATGGGTAGGAACACCAGATTATTTCACTCTGTGGACTAAGGAAATTAATACAGGAGCAACACAATGCCTTACATGAAATCCTTACATCCAGCTATGCTTCAGATTTTTGTTTTAAAAAGGTCACAGAGATATTGTAATAATATGTATGGTGCCAGGTCGGTACTTAAAATATCGGGAGGATCACTCTGTAAAGTACATGATTGCCTAACCATTACGCTGTACACCTGAAACTAATACAAAATAATACTGAATGTAAACTGTAATTGAAAAATAAAATTTTTTTAAAAGGTCAGAGAGAGCTTATAGTATCTATCATGTAACATTCCTAGCAAGATCTAGGATAGCCCACACAATCAAATACATTACTATTTCTATAGCAAAGTATGTGAATACTCTAAGTGAGCTTTAAAACTACTTTAAACAGGCCTATCGTAAATTTTGGTCAGGTTTTGCTTTTGCCACCAAACTTTTGGATGAGAAAAAAAAGCTTTTAGTTTTTCAGAGATTTTTTTTTTTAGATAAAGGATTGTGAACATCTATCCAATACCACTACATATCAAAGTACAAAGACATTTTCAAAATATACACAGCTAATTAATTTAT